AGTATGGAGCAGGACTCACGGCGGAGGGTGAATCGTTGGACCCGGCATCACTGGAAGCTAGACGGCGTCTGCTCGATGCACAGTATGGAGCAGGACTCACGGCGGAGGGTGAATCGTTGGACCCGGCATCACTGGAAGCTAGACGGCGTCTGCTCGATGCACAGTATGGAGCAGGACTCACGGCGGAGGGTGAATCGTTGGACCCGGCATCACTGGAAGCTAGACGGCGTCTGCTCGATGCACAGTATGGAGCAGGACTCACGGCGGAGGGTGAATCGTTGGACCCGGCATCACTGGAAGCTAGACGGCGTCTGCTCGATGCACAGTATGGAGCAGGACTCACGGCGGAGGGTGAATCGTTGGACCCGGCATCACTGGAAGCTAGACGGCGTCTGCTCGATGCACAGTATGGAGCAGGACTCACGGCGGAGGGTGAATCGTTGGACCCGGCATCATTGGAAGCTAGACGGCGTCTGCTCGATGCACAGTATGGAGCAGGACTCACGGCGGAGGGTGAATCGTTGGACCCGGCATCACTGGAAGCTAGACGGCGTCTGCTCGATGCACAATATAGTTCAGGACTCATGACCGGAGGTAAAACGCTAGATCCGTCTACAACGGAGGCAAGGAAAAGGTTTTTCGAGGAAAAATATGGAAGTGGACCAATGGTTGCTGACGAATGGCTAGATCCAGGATCGTTGGAATTTAAACGGATACTCTTGGATGCTAAACATGGAGAAGGATTATTGGATGGGAATAAACTGGTTGATCCATCATCAGTGGAAGCTAGGAGATTAATGGATGAAAAACACGAACGAGAAAAAGCAAAACTGAAAGGGATTCGGAGTGAGACGATTGATCCCATCTCTCGCACCATGCTAAAAAAGCTGGCTATGGAAAACGCAAAACGAAGAGGAGAATATATACCGTCTGGTGACCCCGAATCTTGGATGGACGTGGAAAGCATTGATGATCATATCAATTCCATAGGTGAAAAACAATATTTAGATGAAATGCGTAGACGTCCAGTGGCCTTGGCTGATCTTGCTAATGAGCAAGGTATGATAGAGAAAGCAGAACGACGTCTTTCTAAAACGGTTTCCCCATCTCAGCATAGAGGAGGAACTTTGTTTCAACATTCAAAAGAAATGGGAGCTCTGGGAGTGAGTAGTGATCGACATTTGAGCGCAATATCTTTGGGTGAATCGACAGAAACGTTGGCTGATAGAGCGCTGGATCATGAA